ACAGGAATGACGACAGTTATGACCGACTTTGGAAAATTCGGACCATCTTCGACACTCTCAATGACGCATTTGAAAAATATTATAACCCTTCCGAACATTTGGCCATTGACGAAATAATTGTAAAATACAAAGGGAGGGTGCTTTTTGGGCAGTACATTCCTAAGAAACACAAACGTTTCGGAATCAAAATCTTCAAAATTTGTGACGCCGCTGGGTATACTTATGACATGAAAGTTTACCCAGGAAAAGACAGGACACTTGCCAGCCAAGACGTGACAGTGACACATGCTACAGTTAGGGATCTATGCAGACGTATTGAGGGCGTAGGTCACAAACTGTATATGGACAATTTCTTTTCTTCACCCGACTTGTTTGACGAACTGATGACAAAGAATATAACGTGCTGTGGGACAGTCAGACCTAATCGGAAGGGCTTGCATGACGATTTTCGACGAAGAAAATTTTGACTGAAGAAAGGGGACATTCATGTTAGGGTGAGACAGAACTTGACAGCACTAGTTTGGAAGGACAAACATGACGTTTACATGCTGACAAATATGCACTCTCCTCCAGCAGAAGGCAATTTCTGTGATGAGCATGGAAATGCCACAAAACCAGCTGTTGTTGCTGACTACAACAAGCACATGGGTTATGTGGACAAGGCGGACAGGATGGCAAACAGTTATGGCATCTGTCGTCGGACCTGGAAATGGACAAATAAACTATTTTTCCATCTCCTGGATCTGACGATTCTGAACAGTTATATCCTGTTGTCATCCTGTGGCGCGAAATTGTCACACAGAGATTTTCGTCTCGCCCTTGTGCGGAACATGCTGGAGCTCGCTGGAAGGGGTCCACCTCGCCCTCAACGGCCCAGGGGTCGACCCCTGCCATTTCATCGGAGTCATTTCGAATAGAGGAGGCCAAACAACAGCACTGGCCGACTTCCTCTACTTCCAAATTGAGGTGTCGAGTGTGCTCTTCGCGTGGGAAATGAAGAACCGTCCGGATAAAGTGCGTGAAGTGTGACGTCGGACTCTGCATTTCCGGATGTTTTCAAGATTTCCACACGAAGCCAACATTCCGTTAGATGACGCAGGTGGGAAGAGAGACAACTTATAAAGCTGGTGTCCAAAAATCTTGTAAGTGGAAAAAGAATTTATAACTTAAAATTAGATTTTAAAAAGCCGGTCGCACGCGTGGACTGCGCGACGACATATGGAGTCATTCGTCCCCTTGACTTTATTTTTGTGACTCCATATGTCGCCTTTAGGCTTTAAAAGGTTAAATCATCAATATTTTGCATTCAAAACCATAATGTCATTACTACAGTCCACTTTTCAAATAGTTTATTGTTAGCAGTACTTTCTATACATTCCAAAGTTCATGAAACTTCATGAAAATTAATTGCTAGAAACATGGAAAGAGACAGCCGCCGTCCCTTCTTCGACACAGATATTTAGAGGGGACCTGATGGTTCTCTGGGCCATAAGGCATACCACAGACATACCGTAAGAATCTCTGCCTCAACTCTAGTTCTCATCACTACATGCCCAACAAGAATGCCACACTTTGTGACAAGCAGATTCACAGGGTTCTGAATCCCCTGGCGAAGGTTGCTCTGCTCAATGAAAATGCCAGAGTCAGTCATGCTCCTGCCTTATGTTCGATTGTTCTTGACCTGCATTAACAGGGTGCTTCCCCAGCACATCATCAAGTGAGAGGGACTTTTCCTGAGGAAACGCTCTTTCTTCCTTCAGTCAGTCAACGACAACCTGCAATTGAAGAAACCAGCAGTGTACCATAGTCCCTGTGAATGTGGTCAAGGCGATATTGGACAGACAGACCATTTCATTGACACCATCAGGTTGAACAAGCTCCATTAGCATATCCAGCTGGAACATCTGGAGAACTCAGCCATCGCAGAACACAGTAACAACTTGGGCACTGCACCCAGCTACATAACACCATTGCCCTCTGGACCAAAGTCCAATTTATGGATTGCATCGTAACAGAGACAAAGTGAGACTGCAGTCTGTCCCAATAATATGAACAGCAACAATGGCTGCAAACATCTCATCTGCTCCCTGAAAAATCATAGGAAGCTTCCCTCACAGGATTCTGTACATAGGTTCCCTGTAGAGCCATGCAGACCCACACATTGCCTTTATAAGGGCACCAAATCTACCTTCTCCAGGCACCCATCACCCTAAGCCTTTCCTTCCTATTCCAGCCTCCCTCTGCTACTTTTGTCCTTTTTCTTCCCCATCCTGCATCACTATGACTCACGCACACAACTCCTCTCCCATGCTCCCTGATCCTCTGCCCCTCACACCTTACTTGTTTCCCCATTTCCAGATTTGCACTACCAGCCCTTTTCAGGGCCAATGCTAGTTATCCTTGCCTATGGAAACTGGCAAGTTGTTCTTGCCCTCCTATTGGTTCTCTGTTCTGATAGCAAGCAAATGGGATCTGAAAATTGTCTTGTGGTTCCATCCTATTGTCATATATAAACTGAAGTTTCTGGAAAGTGGACTGCTCTGTCTGCTACCTGCTTCATGCCAGTTTGTTTGGCTTACTATCCAAACATGATGATGGAAACGGCATGTTCCTCTGAAATATCAGTCAACTTTTAATGGACTATATGGTATTATATACCAGAAGATAAGGCTCTTGACAAAAGAGTAAAGTCACATTTTAGTAAAAGTTTTATTTTTTACATGTCACTTATTTATGAGTATGTATGACAGGATATGTGGAAAGCAAATGGAAAAACTACCACATTATCACTTTCCCTGGATAGTCTCTTTCCAAAAACAGAAATACCATGTATGCGAGATGTTTCCTTTGGAGACAAAACAATCCGGAGGAAAACTACTCCCCCAATCAGATCTCCGGGGGGGGGGGGGGGGGGTTCTAGAGGAAATGTCATGCAAGCGTTACAACAAGAAAAAGTGTGAAGATCAGAAGGAACATCACGGCTACAGGAGTGGAACATGGAATGTAAGGACCTTGAACCAAGCAGGCAAATTGGAGAATTTGAAAACGGAAATGCAGAAGAATGAGGTGTCTGTTTTAGGTGTCAGCGAAATGCGGTGGAAAGGACAAGGTGAAATAAGAGGTGGTGATTATACAGTGTATTATAAGCGGCCTCCGTAGTCTAGGGGTAACGTTCCCACCTCGTGACTCAAGGTACACGGATTCAAACCCGGCGGAGGTCGTGGAATTTTTAAGGGCGGAAAAATTCAGGGAACAAGTCCTCTGGGAGGGGCTTTAAGCCATGGGTCCCATGTCGTAGCTTTACGGCATGTAAAAGAACCTCATGTCTCCAAAAGGCCACTGAGCAAAATTCAGGACAGTTCCCGCCCAACAGTAGTCTCTAACACCTCTGATAGATGGGGGAAGCATTAAAGATACCGCTAAGCCAGTAGAGGCCGAACTCGCTGGCTCAGTCAGGACTGATGGTACGCACCAGTATCGGTAGGGTATAGAGACTGGTAGAATATCATAGAGGGAATCACAATGGACCAATACTGGTCTAAGTGCATGGGGAAAACGCACCCTCTCCAATAACTAACTAACTACAGTGTATTATTCTGGAGGTGAATGGGCTGAAAGAGGTGTAGCAATAGTGGTGCATAAAAGTGTAGTGAGGAATGTTGTTAAGAAGACTGTTTGTAATGACAGAATTATTGCTCTGAAGTTGAAGGCGGAACCGGTAGATATACTGATTATGCAAGTGTACATGCCAACATCAGAGTATGAAGATGATGAAGTAGAAAAGGTGTATGACACAATTGAAGAAATTCTTCAGGAAGATGGAAGAGGTGACACAAACAGCATCATATTAGGAGACTGAAATAGCATAGTTGGAGATGAATCATATCAGAATATTGTTGGATTACATGGACTAGGAAGACGGAATCACAGGGGTCAAATGTTTATTGACTTTTGTGAAAGAAATGGACTGATTGTTACCAACACTTGGTTCAAGAAGCCAAAGACTTTACACACGAAAGGTACCTGGGTATTGGAGGCAGCATTGGCTTGACTACATCCTTGTGAAACATCGGTTCAGAAACAGTGTGAAGGATGTGAAGATGCTGCCTGGGGCAGATATTGACTCTGACCACAACTTACTGGTTGCCAAGTTTCGAACCACGTTGAAGAAAATTATAAGATTCCAAAAGTGCAGACCTAGATGGGATTAGGAGAACTTATATGCTCAGAGACAAAGCATGCAGGAGACCCTAGAAGATGAACTCAGTGCAATTGAAAGTTAAAGAGGAAATGCTGAAGTGCAGTGGAACAATATAAAAGAATGCATGTTAGATACTATTAGCGAATTGGTTGGTAAAGTTGAGAAGATAGCAAGAAAACCGTGGGTTACACAGGAGATGATCAGTAAAACGGAGGAGTGAAGGAAATGGAAGAACATAAACAATGAGGAAGGCAGGAGGAAATACAGGAGACTGAGGAATGAATTGAAAAGAGCCATGGACAGGGCCAAAAAGGAATATCTTGAAAAGATGTGTAATTATATTACAGAACTATATGATTGGCTTAATCGGCCAGAAACCTTGGAAGTGGAACCGGAAGAAGAAGTAGATACAGACGAGAGAGGACCATATATTTTACGAAGTGAGGTGGAAAAAGCTATCAAGGACATGAGGAATGGAAAGGCTACAGGAGATGATGATGTACCTGGAGATGTGCTTAAGTTACTGGGAGAAGGTGGTTTGAAAACACTGATAAAACTAATAAACACCATATATGAAACTGGGGAGTGGCCTAAGGACTGTACAGAAGTGACAATGACTGCCTTAAAGAAAAAGACAAAAGCTACAAAATGCAGCGACCATCACACAATAAGCCTTATTGCACATACAGCAAAGATAATAGCAAAGATACTTAAAAGAATAATTAAAAGGAAA